TATTTGAAAACAATTCATATTTAATCTAACAAGCTAGTGTATGTATGTTTGAATGGCTATATTTGTGCTATTATGATGATGTGTTTTCCCTTGTCTGAATAGCAATTATGGAGAAAGAGTGAATTTGCTTTTAATACCTGATAAATGGGGCCCAGGGTTGAGTTTATTTAATAGAATCATAATTTGAAATAAACTATTTACTTTGTATATCCTAATAGCTGATCATATTTATTTTTAATAATCGTAAGTAGCTTTTACATAGGTATGACAGATTATCATATTATTTCAACCAGATTATACACCTCTTAAAGAGACAGTGCATCTTTTAAGCCTTTATTTTCCCAGTTTATGCACAGTATCTTGTATATAGCAGGTGCCCACAAAAATGTTTACATTATTTTTCTTCATTGTATTTGCTCAGGCACTTGGGCAACTAGTCCTATCTCTGTTTTGCAACAGGTTTGATGAACCTGCTACCTGACATTTCTGTCCCTGAAATGACAACTTCCATCCACTGACTTTTGACAGTTGCCAAAGAAAGTCTGCAAATAAACAACATGCTAAACAAGCTTAAAAATAAATAAATCAGGACTCTGACCTTATGTAACTGTTGCACTCACAGTAACAAATTTTCTTCTCGGAAAACTCTAATTCCTCTGTCTTACCTAATTCACAATTTAGCTGCCACAGATTGGAGCGTAAGGGGTTGAAAGGGGAGAGCATGGGGAGAGGGTAGCCTTAGAAAGGGAGGATCTGCCTCAGAATGTTTATTCTCCAGAAGAAAAAAAAAATTCCCCAGAAAGCCTTCCATCCAGGAGGGATCTGAACTCCTTACAGATGAGACCTGCTATTTAGTTTCTGCCTAGACATTAATTTGGGGGGAAGAAGAGGAAAGAGGAGGTAATCAGTGCAATTTACCTCTAAGGCTCTTTCAATTCCAAGACGGATTCAAAATTGAAGAAAATGGTGGAGCCCAACACACCAAAATTCTGAAGCCCCTCCACCCTCTCCACCTCCATAAAAACAAAGGTGGGAAAGGGAGAGAGGGAGGAAAGGAGGAGGGAGGGAGGAAAAAACGGACAAGACAGAAAAACAAAATCCTGCTCCTCCATTTCACTCTCCATTTCTGAGATGACCTAGTTCTGCCTAGAGAAAAATCCAGCACTGCAGTGTGCCAGGATGAGTAAAGGTACCATTCTCCACATGAGACCCCAGGGTAGCCAGAGCAAGGCACATCCTCTTCTCCAACCCAACCCAACCCAACTGGCCTGAAATCATTTTATAAATTCGAATCTCTGTCCTTGGCTCTGCGTAAACTGAGGAAAGCAGATGGGCCAGAAAAGAGATTGAAAAAGTACATCAGGCCCCGTGGCAGCAATTCAGATGCAGGGTAACGCTGGGGCGGGCAGCCGTGGACTCTCCAGTTTGCTCCCTGTGACTAGGACACAGCTGGCTTTGAATAAGAACCCTAAATACACTATATTTTGGTCTCTAAACCGGCCTCCGGCTGGTGGCACTCAGCCATTCGTCCCCGCCAGCCAGGCCCTGGCCCCAGCTTCCGCGACACAGGGAATGCCCATCAGCTGGCAGTCACACCTGTTAGGTGTTTCTCCACCCGGTGCCTCCGCCCTGCCCGCGTCCCCCACACGGCCGGAGCCCCGGGTGCTGAGCGCGCCGAAGAGGGAGGCTGAAGCAGGGCCGGGCGTTCCGAGCAGACCCCGGCGGGACTAAGTGCGGAGGGCTGGGGAGGGGACGGGGGCGGGCCGGGCGGGAGAGGTCGAGACAGGCGGAGAGGGGTATGGGGAGGGCAAGGGGAAGCGCGGCCGCTGCTCGCTTTGCGCTTCCAGAGCCTGCGGCAGAGGCGCGGGCTGAGCCGCCAAGGGGATGAGGCTTGTACCAGCCTCTGCGTTGCTCCTCGCAGTCCCGGCGCCTCCTCCCCTCGCCTGGCCTCTGCGCCGGTTAGGCCGTGCAGGGTGAGCGCGGCGCTGGCCGGCCACACCTCGACCGGGAGGGCAGGGCGCGGCGGGGCCACGGCGGGGGGACTCCAGGAACCGGGCGGCCCGCGCGTCCCCGGAGCGCACCAGCTCCCGTTGCCGCGGGATCGCGGCCGGGACGGAGCTCCCTGCGCGCCCCCCGGGGGCCGGCAGCGGCCGGGAGGCGGCGCGGGGCTCGGCCGCTCGGCCCTGCGGCTCCGAGAACACGGTGGCGGTGGCGCGGGCTCAGGCGCTGGGCAGCCTCCGAACCCATGGCAGGTAGCGACATGGACAGCGAGGGGCCGGCACGGAGAGGCGGCGCGGCACGGAGTCCGAGGGCCCCGGGAGGGCCAGGAAGCGAGGCGGCCGCGGGCTGCCCCGAGTCGCTGTCCACCGCTGAAGCGCCGGCCGAGGCTGCCACGCTGCCCGCCTGGATGCGCCTCTACTTCTACGGGATGCACGGGGTCACCCTGGACGTGCTCCTGTCTTCGGTTCGGCGCTTCGCTCGCAGCCCCGACCTCCGGATGCTGGGCTTCTCCTCGCCCTACCGCTGCCTCCTGCACGCGCTCACCCACTTCGCCCTGGAGAAGGTCTACCTGCAGCAGCGGCGCTGTCCCAGCGCCTTCGTCTTCAATTTCCTCCTCTACCCCTCGGCTCACGTGGGGCTGCAGACCCTGACAGGCCCGGCGCTGCTGCGCAGCCTGGGCGGCGGAGCGGGGGGCGCCGCGGCGCCGGGGGCGCTGGACCTGGCGCTGCAGTACGTGCTGGCGCTCTACCACTGCCAAGTGTTCCTGAAGCGCTTCCTGCGCTTGCGGTACCCGCGGCAGCGGCAGCAACAGCGGAGGGGCGCGCTCCCCACCCCTCCGGGGGCCCGGGCCGCTGCGGCGGCCAGTGCCCGGCGGCGACGACCCCGGGGCGCCAGGGGCGCCGGGGGAGCCCCCAGCCAGGGGCTGCCGGACCTGCTCCGCTTTCTTTTCTTCGGGATGCACGGCTTTCTGGATGAGATCTTCTTCACCTTCTTCTTTAACGTGCTGGGGCAAGGGGACGGAGCAACCAGTGGCCACACATCGCTCTGGTCCTTCCTTATGTATGGCAGCTGCAGTTTCGTGGTGGAAAAGCTCTACTTCCACCTCCAC